GTCCTAGAGATATAGTATTCTGCTCAGTAACCCCATTTCTACTTGGTAAGTATGTTGCACATAGAAATTGATGGTTTAGTTTAGTACTGTCACTTCTACAATGTTCAGAGGGTACATTTTTTTTCTCCCATATGTGTCACCTCAATAGGAAACTGTTAACAGTCAATGAGTTTGAAATATTGTCATCTGTATGTACATTAGATGGTACTGGATGTGTTTCCTTTAAACCAGAATGAAATAAGAAATGGGAAAACAGATACTTATAATCTTTCAGGAGCTGGATAGGAGCCAATAAACTGATCAATCCAGATAAAGCAGTGGTATTATTAGTAAAGTTCAAATTTTCAACTAAGTGGGTTATGTTCTAGCACAAGATGCCTTTCACAATTTTCAGTTGGTGGCACTGAAGAGCTTCATATGCCTGAACTGATGGGGAGAAAAATGAAAAAGAAGAACAGAAGAAAACTACTCCTTCCCCACTTGTCTCTGTCTTGTTCCATCAAGTAATGTGTGAATAGAGATTGATATGAAAAAGAACTCTCTCAGACCAAAAATACTTTTTGATACAAAAGACCAAATGTGGGTTGTCCATACATAGCAGCAAAGAAAGTAAAAAATCTGGGGCATCCCCTGCAAGGTGAGATTTCAACAAAATGTCAATACATGTATTCACGGTGGAGTTTGCATCCACAGTGCATGTTTTGCAATAGTTCTCCCTTTGCCCATCTTTAGGCACCAATGGTCAAAATGTGAATTTACTGACACTAATGGACTATATCTCCCAACCATCTCCAAAGTACAGGTTGATGGCAAAGGACCTACTGATTTCCAACAAAGGCCCTATTTATTGTCAAATATTTAGAAAAACAAATAAACCTCCAACAGCACTAAGTCCAAAGCAAAAGTAGCTCATTGTCTCATTTTTCAAGTACCCTTTATTTTGCAGTTCTTTCAATCACAGCTCAGAGGTATCTTATGTTTGCTACAGATTACACTATTTAATCTTTAATACCTAGACAGCTTGGATCTGTAAATTGTTTTTTTTTTTTAAGGCCATTTTAAAAACTTAAAACTAAAAAACTGGAAGCAAAGATCTGAGCTTGATTCTGCAAGAATTCTATTCAGAGACAAGTAAAATTTTTTGATATTTCTATTATTAGAAGTGCTTTACTGTTTTTCCTGTCGAAAAGATACCATAAAATGTTACCGGATGATTAAAATAAATACTTAATAAAACTTTATTGATGCATTATATATCATTTGTGTGTGTGTGACATACATACATACATACATACACACAGGTATATATATAGTATATGCACTCCACAGAAACTGAAAACAGCTCTTCCCAACAATGATGGATTTAAGTTATTAACTGATCAAAAAAGATGGATGGTCTTCTGCTTTTCTTAATCTACATAATCATCTAGATCTATTTAAAGATATGTGATGCACTAACAAAGTTAGTTAAGGTTTCAATAAAATCAGTAAAATAATCTGCCCTGTTACACTGAGTCTGCATTGATCAATAAAATCACTTGTACTAGGAAAGTACTGTTAAACACTGACAATCCTAGCCATTAATATTATTTAACACACTCCTCACAATCTTTAATGAGGATAAAGAGCATTTTGGCTCTGTACACTTATCATACTACCCTTTCCAGAGATCCGTATAAACACAACACAAAAGTGATTATTTAAAACTAATCAGGGTTTCATAGGGAGAAGGACATTGAATAATTTCTGCTAAGTTTTCTGTGTGATTAATAAATGTCCTCAGTGGCATTCTTAAAAAAAAAAAAACCCAGATAAAACTGAAATGAAATATATTTGCATGTACACTATTCTGGATGAATTTCTATAGTTTACCCCATCAGCAAGCCTATTTCCACAGTATATAAATTTATCTTCTAAGACAACAAATATATACCCTCAGAAGCTTTTACCATAAGTCTAACACATCAGGCTGAGAAAGGCTAACATATTGCCTATTGAAACAGTATATTTCTAAGTTCTAGGTTCAGTGACACAGAAAATTTTATGACCACAATATTTATTGGCGATAAAAGTATATATGGAAGTTCATTAAGTTAGAGAATGTAGGTATACAAAATCATTGGGAATCAGGGAACTGAGGTGTCTAAGAGTGGCTTACAACTTCATCTCCTAAACAAAGTGAGGAAGGTAATTTCTGAGTAGCTCTTGCAATTCAGGTGCATAAGTCTAAATAGGATCCAGATAGGAGGAAAATAAATGCTTTCCTCAGATCCTTGAAGCACTGACCATGACTGATAGGATACTTTTTTCCCAGGAGTAAGAAAATCCTTCTATGGATGCTGAATATAACTGAAAAGATGGGGGATATGTGCACTTGCACATTTATTCAAAAAATTGCCAGTCTAGGTGAACTTAGTAACTTCCTAAGATATGAGTCTGCAACTTGTAGCCAATATGCACCCCTCACAGTGTATTTTGATGCCAAAGAGGCTCCTTTTCATTGTATTTCAAGTTTTTCTTTACCAATTGTGTTTTTAAATCTTTTTTTAAAATATGGTCTACTTTTTCATTTAGAGGGATGGTGGAAGAATGAATTTCTTTGTCTTTTATTTAGTATTTCCCTATGATCCTACTGTTCCTGTTAAAAATGTAATGAAACTGAAGTGGGGTCTCCAAAAATATGATAGACTTAAACCTCAACATTGTGATTTGCTTATCATCTTCATGTATTTGAAATCTAAATGCTTTCAGCAAGAAACAGGATTTCAAAAAGTCATTCTAGCCAATAGACAATCTGAGAGCTATATTAGTATTGGCCACTATCTTCCTAAGTCCCTCATTTAAATCTAATATGCTCCTATTTGTATTGCTGACCTGAAACAGAGGATTGTCAATTGCTCTTGGTGATGTCATTTTCTACAAGCTAACCAAAAACAAATTTCTTATTCAAGCAGTGAACATTTTTATCACATCTTCTGATAACTGCCCATTATCTTAATAAGGACATAAACCAATAATAGTGAAATGTTTCTGCTAACTGAATTTAGTTAGTATGTTGAGAGAATATAAACCTAATTTTAAAACACAAAACTAGCTGATAACAATATATTATTTTATTATATAAACATTATCTCTCCTAGTATCCAAATTCTTGTATGAGGTAATAAAAAAAAATTCACACAGTTTAAACATCCCATCCTTATTTTACATTTTCAGTTGTATGATCACCCTATAACTGTTACAGCCAAACTGTTTTGTTCAAACCTTTGAATAATTTGCACTGTACCATGAGAAAAATTATTAGCTTTTTTCTACTCAAAAATGCCTTTCAATAATGATTTCAAAGCATGAAGAGAGGTAAATCAACTCCTATTTTTCAATTACTATATAGATTCACTTTGTCAGAAAAAAATAATCTGACATTATTTTATTAATTCCTATTGGATTGCATCAAGTATTTCCTTCCATTTGCAGTAGCGTCACTTGAACAGATTTCTGCTCAGAACACTTTCACTGATAGAAGGGGGAAGGGATCATTTTCACAAATTTCTTCTTCAGCTTGCAGGCTCTACCTCTATGTCTCCCACTCTCCCACAAGGTTCTCCAAAGCTTCAAATGCGATTTTTGGAGACAGAGGAAGCAGTGGGGGAAGGGAGGAAATTAAGAAAACTGTTTCTTCTCCCTTTCAGCACTGGAAATATTCAGCTCTAGTAGCAGCCTTTCCCAGAAGAAAATGATGGTATTTACTCAATGCAAGTTAAGCTCTGAAAACCAATAAAATCAGAAGACTACAACAAATACGAAAATCAAAGTACTATAATAAACTCATTTTGAGATTTTATTCAAAAATGTTTATAATTAGATTAATAATGAATGCGATCAGTGGATTAGGCATAAGCAGAATACTATGAAGGGCTTGAGCAGGTACCATTTCTGGCTTATTTTGTATGAACTCAACAAAAGTATCTTATGTCAGAGAACAGACTGTCCCCCACAGGCAGGCTAAAAATTAAGGTTAATACAGGGCTGGAGACTCAAAGAGTTTATATCAAAGTAACAGCTCAGAAAAGGCTTGGGCTGACACATTTTAAGAGCATGGCAAGTATATAAGAGATGCTTTTTTTTTCACAGCAAGCACCTTGACAGCAAGTACAGAAAGAAAGAAAGAGATGGACTTGAAGGGCTCTTAAAAGAACTCTTAAAAATATTGGGTTGTTGAAGCATTATTCACTTTTTGACCTCATAAATAAGAAGAATAAATCAGAAATGGGTTAGCTCATTCAGCCCTCCATTCAGCATATCTGGAGCAGGCCACAATGGTGTCAGAATGACAACTTACATATCTTACATAGCTCCGCTGCATATACCATGCCCTAGTAACTTTTCAATGCTCCCTACATGGCTGCAGAGGAAAGGTTCTTCTATCCTCCAGATGCTCTGTCCAAGTTTTAGAATCCAAGAAAATCAGGACTGTAAATCACAGTAGCTCTACTTTCCTTTGATATAACTACTGTCCATGAATTGAAGGCAGTGAGAAAGAGGAAAAGAAGTAGAGAAATGTTTTTCTGTCACACTATTTCCCCAAGTCCCTACAGCCTGTGTACATGTTCAACACCAAATTGTAATTTTAATGTTACAGTAGATAAAAAGTATTAAATATATGTGGAGCAATCTTATTAATTATCCTGAATTAATATACATGTATTTATTTTTTTAAATCAAGTTTAATTTTTCTCTTTGCCATAACCATGTCTTGGTCCTTTGCAAATGCCAACTTGGAGTATCATTTAAAAGCCATATTTATTAAAAAGATGAATCTAAATATTTCAGATAAATACAAAGCAAATAACATATAGCTAGAGTGGTTATGTGTTAAGTAACAGCAGACTTCAATTATTAGTTTTAACCACAGATTAAAGCAGCGGGTATTCAAATTCCTAATATTGCTTTTGGAAAAGAAAAGAAAAACTCTTCTCTGTTCATTGTTTAAAATAGCTTACCTGTAAATAAAATTCTAAACCCTGCCGACGCTGTTCCAAAACTTTGGGCACCCAGTTCCTCACATGCTTTGAAGGGATTTCTGGAGTTCTTATGAATTTCTTAAGCTAAAAATATGAGGGAAAAAAAACCTCTCCAATCAATATAACAGATTCTTTAGAAATAAAAACTTACAAAAAGAGAAATAAACAAATTGGGAAAGACGACAAGAAAAAAAAAATCAATAAACCAAGTGTTGTTATGAAAAAGCTCTATGACCATAAATGAGCTTATTCAATTATAAAAGGTATTGGTGCTGCAAATTTGAAATAAATACTTGTAACAGCTAACAGAGTGGACAATTTCTTAAGTCAGGAACTAAACATTTTGGTATGTCAGCTAAATATTAACTAACCAATCTACACCTTTAATACAACCTAAAGAATGGAGTTTAACTCCTATTTTAGCATGTACTCTTGAGTATTAAGTTTAAAAAGAAACCTTAAAAACTGTATTATATGCTCAAAATTCAATTGACTGTTTTTTTTCCTTGCAGGATGGGCAGTTTAAAAAACAGCACATACAGACTGAAATGAAATATCAACGTAAATACAAACGATTTGGTTCTGAGAAAAGCTTATGAACACTGACAAGAATTTCAAAATCTGAAAAATAAGGGGATAGAAAAAAGAAATTAAATGAATTAAGTCTCAGAGATTACAGGACAGGACAGGCTGATTTAAGGTCAGCAATCTGTATGTGTTATCATCCCTTTTTTTGGTAGTGGAAATTATCCCAACGAAACACTTATGACTTTCCTTTCAGTCTTCTTAATTTGGAAGACTTCAAAAAGTAGCTGGTTATGTACAGGTGCTTGACAAGAACATAAGAGTAAAAAACCAGGCCAGTACTTTTATTGCATAGATCATGTTCACAGATTTCAGATTCAAGTGACAGTCAGAATCACTAGCCAATGCAGGAAGTGTGCATTTCCAGAATTGGCTAAGACTGACACAATATATTATGGATTACAGAGGCAAATTATATTAATCTCCAAAACAAGGGGAAGTCACTCTTAACCAACATGCTATATCTTACTTTCCAATTTTCTGGGTAGTATTTATATTTATTTTTGTAGCTAAGGAACAAGGAATCTGCTTATTCTCCATGATCTTTGATTAGGACTATCAGTTCTGGGCTCCAAAAATTTAGACAACTGTTAGACAGCAGCAAAGAGGAACAGAAATCTCTAGTGCTTTGTTGCCATCTAGTAGTTGCCCATATTTGTACAGCCTATATATGGTAGTTCTACTTCTGTGCATTTCAGAGTGATGAAGTTATGATTGACTAGGCGTGAAAAGATTAATCTTCTGTCTACTACAAAGTTATGGCTTTGTTTTGGCTGATTTATAGCCAGATTGATAAGTGAGTATGAACCAACCCCTGTCCAGTTTATCTTTTTACAATGGGAAGTCAGGATATAAATATTAATAAAATCAATTCCTCTCCTCCAAAAAACTGTAGGAGATCTGGCCATTGTAGCATATCTAGACAGCTATGACCACCAAGTGGCCTTGGATAAGTTACTCACTTACCATAGTTGAGAGACCTGTAGTTCCTCTGGCTCATTAACAAGAATAATACTTAGCTATCAGGATTCCAATAAAGAGTAGCCAGTTAAGTATTAGTAAATCATTTTATATGCAAAATAGGCTGCATTAAAAATAAAAATTAAGGCAAAAAAAGATGACCAGTATGGTTTTCCTATAGTTGAAACAAGGAGAAGTGGATATTCTCTAGGTATTTTATCAGTTCAAAATTTGTGTGAAGGGGTGGAGATGGGAGAGTCAAAAGGACATACAAACTCAAATTTGAATTTGACATGCAATGCCCACAGGGGTAGAGTAATTTACATTTCATCTTTCATCTTGAGGAGATGTCATCTGACTAAAAGCTGTGTCAACAAATGTTTCAAGTCATGAGATTTGAATATCAAACAAAAGAAAGTCTACTGTTCAGGAAAGAGTTTACAGATGCTCATTTACAGTTGCTCATTTAAACCAGACTTCCATAATCTAGTGTTGTTTTACAACTACTATTTCCAATGGACATGTGGAAGGCTCAATAAGCTATGGTCCAATGTTCTGATAACCTGAACCAAATCTGAATTTGTTAAAGTCAAGATCATGATTCAGCACAGCCAACCTATGGCTTTCTTTCAATATGAAAACTGGTGAAACATATAGGGAAAGCCTGGAATTTCCTGGCATGGATTTTAGTTCTTCTGGATTTGCACTTTAAATGGGATATTAAATCACCAATGTATAGTATTTCTCACATCATAATGCCACAAATGCTGGACAAATCAAACATCATACACAACAGTAGCCAAAATTTAGTTTAAATAATTAAGTTAAATACATTTTAATCTGTAACTTCACAATTTAGGCCACATCCACAGAGCAGCTTTACTATGCTTCCCTGCCATCCTGGAGCTGGTATGAAATCACATGACCCTAAATCTTGCTGCCATCATGTGCATCCTTGCTGAGTTTCCAGAATGGGTCTGGCTATGCTGCTGTCCATACTGTTTTAATGTGCAACATTCTAAAGGCCATGATTTAAGGACTTCCATATTATGTAGGTCAACCAGCTGACCAACTCACATAAAAAAGAAGAAAAAAAGTGACTGCAGAAACTATAGTTCCATTCTTCCTGGCAGCCAAAAGAGAAATGAGGGGTAAATAAAGATAAGACTGAAGGGGATAACTGTGGAGTCCTTGGGGTTCTCTGAGCTTGGTTGTTTTCTTGCAAATGTTTCATTACCTGGCTAGGTAACATCTTCAGTGCTACAAACCAAGGTCAGAGAACCCCAAGGACTCCACAGTTCAACCCTTCACTTCTACTGAAGGGGATAATCCCACAGGAAACCTGCAGAACCAACTGGAGCCAAAAGATTGCTGGCATGGAACACCTAATCTCAGACACATCAACATGCCCTACATTGGCTGGACACAGCATCTTGACATGGGATATTAGGGAAAACACCAATTCTGGAATGTAGCACCTTAAGCTCCCCTTGGGCTGCCTCAGCTGTGGGAGAACATTGTAACACAGGTTAAAGGCATGTAAACATGTACTCAGAAAATAGGTAGTGAGCCATCTTTGCACCAGAGTGAGCAGGCTGTGTGGATTTGCCTTCAGATAAGGATTAAAAAAAAGCAGGGGAGGGAATTAGCAGCAATCCAAAGTGGAAAAGCAGAAATAAAACTTGATGGGGAGAACTTCCATACAGCCTAATAAGAACTGGCCATGTTCAGTGAACATAGAACTGTGGCCGCTGGGGAAGGGAGAAGGGGATTAAAATGTATGTATGTATGTACAGTACTGTGCAAAAGTTTTAGGCAGGTGTGAAAAAATGCTATAAAGTAAGAATGC